CTGCATCTATTCTGTGGCACACAGAGTACTCTTCTGGAGATGTACTCCCAGTTGAAATCTCTTCAGTCTGATATAGGGAACTGCTATTTAATAACTGCCATAGCATCCTGCAAAATATCGGTATTATCCCTTACATAAAAATATATCCTTGTTAATTCAAATACTTTTAGGAAAACCTAGCAGTCTGGATCCTAAGCACATAAAAATGTTCCATGTGTGGCCTCAACTCAAATGTGCATGCTCCTGACAAGCAGGGTAGGAGTTAGATTCATCACTCAACATACTGTTTCTTACAGGCTGCCTGTAAGCAGCCTCACCAGCAGGTGAGAACTTTGTATCATCCCTCAAAATCACCTGCCTCCTCACCTTACCTCAAAATCATTAACTATGTTGAGACCAAAGATGCCTAATGCTGAAGTCTTCACTCTACTGCAGTACCTAAATCCAGAGTCCCAGCTTTGCTGCTGGGATATCTCCTTTTTGATTACAGCTACACATAACGTTCCCAAAGTAAGCACTTTAAATCAGATTGTAAATCATTTCACACGTTCACCTGACATCTCAGGTTATCCATAAACATCACAATCATTTTAAAGTAAGTTTTATTTATGAAAAAGATATTGATTAATATGAGACGTCTTACAGGTGAGCCAGGTAAACCAATCAGCTTCTTCCATTTGCTCTTCTTTCTACATGTATCTGGATGCCACAACATTAGACAACAGTAGGTACCACTAAACAGCGCAGAAGGCTGCCAGACTGTTTTCCAAGTGTATCCTACATACACAAATCTACATGAACAAGCTAAAAAGAAAATACCATTTTTGAACAGTATTCAACCTCCATTTTTTTTTTCTAATTTTCAATTTATGTGCTTTACATGTTGGAAAAAAATCATTTTGCTAGATAGCTAGGTCCAGTTGGAATTGAGAAACAACTCAAATCATTAGCATGAGGGGCCCTCAAGGGCCTGAAGTACATGCCTCCCTACAGCCATTGGTTGACTGTGTTAACATACAGATATTCTCTTTCAGATATTCATCCATCAGGTATCAAAGATTTTAGAGCTTCACACAAAGATGTTCCATTCACAGCATTCTCAGCACCTAATATTTCAATTACATGAAATGATATAAAGCTGAAATTCAGTGAGATCTTATACTATAAAGGCAATTAAATAAACTTGGAACACAGGAACTTGGAATATACAACTAGAAGCAACACCCTTCTACTGCTGAGAACCACTCTACATAGCCCCTTTCATAAACTGATCAATATCCACCTTAAACACAGGTACATTTTTCTTCTCTGAACTTCACACCTTTGACTACTGTAAGCATTCTAATTTCCATTCTAGATGCATTTATTGCCAAATAATACTATTTTTAAAGTCAAAATGGTCTTTCAGTTTAAGTAACTTTATTCTGTTAACCAAGTCAACTCTTGCAGTCTCTGTGTTGTTAGATACACCATTCCTCTGGTCAGCCTCACAACCCTTCCGTGCAACTGTTCATACTTGAGTTTATGTCAGCCACAATACAAACTGTGCTCAGTACTCCAGAGGGATTTTACTAGTGCCTTATCCAATGTCATTAATACTTTTAAAGAAATACATCCTAAAATCAAATCTGCCTTTATCATGACTATCCCAGTCTTCCCCATGTCTCCTAGCACTGCATTGTCAGCAAATTTCATCAGAGCTTTCTACTTTTTATGCTACCATCAGAACAAGAAAAACTGAAGTCTGATGAGTCATGTGAAAGGTCTTTAAGATGCCCACTAGGCTCATTGCCTTTTGGCCCAGTAATTTACATTTTAAGCATGCCTCTTGTCTACTAATCTTTTCTAATTCTTTATTAAATGTAGGTGACAACAAAAGTCTTGGGAAAGCCTAGATGAATTAATCTACTATATTTCCTTGGTCTAGAAAATGAGTTATATAAAAATATATCTAGCTAGTCAAGCATGACCTATCATGTTACACTTTACCTAATTTTTCATTTATTTCTAGATCTTTAGCTATCTTCAAAATTTCGAATCAGTTAGCACTTCAATGTTGTTGTTATATATATTTTTCTATACACACACACACAGAGTGAGAGATTATTTTCTTCAGTTCTTTACTCCTTTAGTACTATTTTAGTAGAGAAAAGACATATCAATTGCAGCATGAAAGAGAGAAGAAAATGTTTACCAGATTAGGCTCTCCTTTATAATCTCTTCCTTTTGTTCTTGACAAATAAGTGGAAGATCTAAATATTTGAGAAGCTGTGACAAGATGATTCACTTTAAATTCTGTAATCTATGTAAGCACTGCCAACAGATGAGAATAATTAAAATCAGATCTGACAACCTGAGGAGGAGTATTTTTTTTGCAATTTTCTACTCAAACTTCACCATGATGAGAAATAATATTTAAAAGGACTAGCCGAACAGCAATGCTAGTAACATGGTGCTGCTAGTTGACATAGAATTTTTGTTCAGCTCTGACTGATGAATAATCATTTATCCTTTCTATCACAAGCTGCCTTAATTCTCTTGGTGGCTGACAAAATAATAGGTTTCCCTCAAATTTACCTCAAATATAAATGCTTAAAAAAATAATAATTTATACGCACTTTATAATTAAGCATTTTAATGATGCATACCATTCTCTCAAATATATTTATGTGATAGCATAGATATTAATGTTATGTTTTCACTGAATTTCCTACTGGCATCAGACACATTTCCTTCCAGGCTTTGGCTTAAAATTGGCAGCCCCAGTAAATTCATTTCTGAGGAGCTATGTAATAAGAAAGTATTCTGAAGTACTATGAACACAAAGTATCATTGTGTTCAATTTTCAAAAAAATTTAAACCATCCATGTTATTTATTGAACATTGGTCAGGTAGCATATCACCCCTAAGACAGCATTCACCACTATTCATTCACACAGTGAAGAATCTTTAATCCATGCCAGGCAGGTATGCCTGTTTTAAAATCCAGTTTTAAAATGTTCTGCAGCATCTTGCCACACAGTATGTGATTTGTGATACAAAAACCATAGGTATGGATTAAGGAAACTTTGCATCATTGCTGTCTAACTACAATGTTATTTAAAATAACATCTCAGAAACAAAATTCAGATTCAAACTTTAAGAAAAAGAAATGGAAAAATCTGGAAGTGCAGTTTTTACCCAGACAACAGCTACAACTTGGTTAAGCCCTGTGGGCCTTGAAAAAATCTTTCAAAATTATTAACTCTTCTCTGAGTATATGGTCTCTCTTAATCTAAAAAGCACAGCTAAACAAGTTCATTTAAACTCTTGGGGGAATAATTACAAGCAGTTAGGCAGAAACACTCTGCTTTCAAAACTACAAACCTATAGTTTATAATAAAAGACAAAAAATGTCCTCATGACTGGTCAATGCAATTCTAATAGAAAACAAAACCCCAGTGGTTTAGTGACCATATTGTCCAGAGAACTGAGATATTTTGCAGAAGTCAATTCACAAATAGTCTGCATGACTTTCAGTAGCCAAATTTTAAATTACATGGAGCACATTTTATTCTTAAATTAAAATTGCAGGCATGTAAATACTATATCTATTTTTAAAAGCAATCCCCAAAAATTGTGGTTTGCTATTGTAACAGTTAATTATAAAGATGCATCCTGGGGTGCATCAAACACAGTATAACCAGCCAGTCAAGAGAGGTGATTATCCCGCTGTATTCAGTGTTGGTGCAGCCTCACCTTGAATACTGTGTGCAGTTCTGGGCCCCACAATTTAAGAAGGATGCTCAGGTCCTTGAATGCATCCAGAGGAGGGCAACAAAGCTGGTGAAAGGGCTGGAAGCCAAGTCCTATGAGGAGCGGCTAAGGACTCTGGGTTTGTCTAGTTTGGAGAAAAGGAGGCTGAGGGGCGACCTCATTGCTCTCTGCAGCTTCCTGAGGAGGGGAAGTGGAGAGGGAGGTGCTGAGCTCTTCTCCCTGGTATCCAGTGATAGGATGCATGGGAATGGTTCAAAGCTGCACCAGGGGAGGTTTAGACTGGACATTAGGAAGCATTTCTTTCCCGAGAGGGTGGTTCAAACACTGGAACAGGCTTCCTCCTAGAGAGGTGGTCGATGCCCCAAGCCTGTCAGTGTTTAAGAGGCATTTGGACAATGCCCTTAACAACATGCTTTAACTTTTGGTCAGCCCTGAATTGATCAGGCAGTTGGACTAGATGATCATTGTAGGTCCCTTCCAACTGAAATAGTCTATTCTGTCTTTCATTAAAGAAGGACTAACTTCCTTCTGGTTTTTAAATGCAAACTAAACATGCAATTGCTTGGTTCACAAATGTTATCTCCTAGACTCCTCTATGAAGAATAATGTCTACTGTGGAAAGAGTCCATTGATTTCAGGTGCCCAGCTGAGTTTTCAGAATACTTTGCTTTACACACACTTGATGAACTTCACTGCATGCTTCAGAGCTCAGATATTTCAGAGAGGTACCCAGATAATGATAAACTGATAATTAGCAAGTAAGACTGTAACATGTGCTTTGAGTTGCTCGGTATCACATGAGATACCTACCATTCCATTTACAGCATGCTCTTCCTATTTTGCAAAACTGAGACAGGCCCTGAACAGAGGTCTTGTTTTAAAAGTTAAAGCACTTGTACTATTCAGATGTGACTCATCAGCACAGCAGAGATGAATGTCAGATAGAAATCCAGTGGAAAAGACAGCACGTTACCATCTAATAAAGATTGTAGGTTGCTCTTAGCTTGCTCCTTGGCTCCTGACTGCTCCAGTTATCCTTCTCCAAGACAAGGCCTACAGGCAGCTCTAGGAATTGCTGAATGCAGTGGATTGCTCTCAAAAGACTATGAAGAGGAGATTGCACAAAGTTCGGCCACTTCTGCAATATACAATACTCCAAAACTATTTAAACTTTGCACTGCCAAAATGCTGCTCTAGCCTTCGTGCTCTACTTCATGACATTTAACACATATCCTCAAGTTCATATCACTCTGGTGGGCTGTATGCAGTTCTCACTTTTTCTTTTTTAGACACTTTGAATTAAAAAATATACACCAAGTAATAACTATGTTTTAAGAGTCACAGACTTGGTCAAATGCTACATAATGCAGATACAGTCAGCCTGATTTAGAGAGAACTAGACCTAAGTAGTGTGGAGTGGACACAAGCTAGTCTGTGACACAGCCTCAGGATCAGAGAATGGTCCCCACTCAACTGGTCCCTGTTTCACAGAAAAGC